ATACTTACACTGCGTGCTTGCATACCCATCACTTGCATACTTACACTTGCATACTTTGACACTTGCATACTTTGCACTTGGATGCTTTCGCTCTTCCACTTACACTGTGGTGGAAGTGTCAGTGTGTAAGTGTAAGTGTCGAAGTGTCAGTGTATGTAGTGCAAATGTGGTGGAAGTGTCAGTGTGTAAGTGTAAGTGTCGAAGTGTCAGTGTTCAAGGGATTTTCCGGAAGAACCCTTCGCAATGTTTTCGGGAAAAAGGAAAATTGACTAACTGTGTATATATATATATATACAAGACTCACATCACAAACTTCGTCCTGATTGCCCCGCCTCTTTCTGATTGGTCTTCCGCAAGCTGGCTGGCCTTGGCATGGTGCGGAAAGCACTCCAAAAGCCTGCATCTTAAAGTTGAATGCGGTATGTATATATAGTACATAATTATCTATATGTATAATATACACATGCATATATATATATATATTACTTAGTTGCTAGGCAAAAGAACAAACAAACTCTGCCACCATTAAAATAGTATTACTGTACATAAGAGCTGCCAGCATTGCGAACGACCCCAGGCTTCATCGCCAACGAGCCTCTGTTGTGGCGGGGCGGCTTTGGCTTTCGCCATCCGAACTTGCAGGCAGTGGGGATTCAAAGCGTCTGGTCGGATGTGATGAATGTGATCGCTGCTGCGGGGCAGAGGAAGAGTTGGAAGGCCCCCGTTGTCTGCCAACTTGCTGCCCTAATTGCCATGCGAGTCTGCAAGCTTCGAGCAGTGGATGCTTGGTGCACTTCGGAAAGACTGTCAGGAGATGCATGGCTGAAGGATCTGTGGTGCATGGACAAGGACGCAACTTGTCCTTGCTACAGTGCTCTTTTGGCTGCTGCTTGCACCAAGAACTGCAACAGTGCGCGCAAGCAGAAGTACGGCCCGGGCATAATGTTCACAAAACTGGCAAGCAAATGGTGGTTGCTTTTGAGATGAGAATGCGTTGAGTGTTTGATTGGCCCTTGCCTAACTATGGTCCTTGTTCGCACCAAATCCAAGCAAAACGGCTCGCCATCGCAAATCTGCAACACGTCTTAATGCATTGGCTCATGGTGACCTGTAGGCACTCTTTTCTGAGCTGTCAAACGTCCATGAGGTGCTATCGGTACTTGCCGCCGTACCTTTGCACAGCTGAGGCATGAAGAACAGTTTTAAGTCTGAACTGCTAAGCTGCAAAGGCTTGTGAACACCAGGGCACTGCGGGCACTGCCCCTTGGCTTCATGGCTTTGCCGTGAGTTACTAAGAAGTGCCTCAGTGTCATTTCCTTTGCTAGAGGGTCTTTGCATGGTTTTGCCACCTTCATGTTAGTGGGCCGGAGTGTAAAGATAAATGTCTCTATCTCTCTCTGGGGCACTCATTCTTGCCCTTCTTGGAGTCGGTACCCAGCTCGAAGTGCTTGGTCCGCTTGATGGGTTTCATGCGCTTGGCCTGGCCCAGCACACCCAAACTGCGGTGGCAAAAACGGTGTTGATCCCACCTAGGGCGAACCTCCCTCAAACAGGAAGCAGAACGAGTGTCCACTGCCTATTTCCACCAAGCGGTCAGGTTCGGCTTCAAATTAGAATCAATATCGACACCCCCGCATGCACCACAGTCTCAAACTGTGTACTGCCACTGGGGCAAGGATTCCTTTCTCACACTCGAGCCTTGCACTTGGAGCACTCAAACTTGAGCACAATCCTCAGGCACGAGACTCCAAATGAAGGATCAAGACCAGCATACCTCCTACTTTGGCAGTTTAATAGCCGTAAGTTATAGCTGTGGAGAAAGGAGGGCGAAAGCCAGCTGTGGAGCATTGCACGAACACCTTTCTGATTCTGATGCAAATCATGCAGCTACGTCCAACTGTGACTTGCGTGTTCTGCATCACCAACTCACTCAAAATGGACTCCACTTGGCATGGTCTGCCACTCACTTCATCCGCAGAAACTACTTCTGCCTGGGCTGGCCTTCCTAATTATAATCTTGATCTTGCAATCCACTTCTAACTTTGACAGCACATGTGATGTCTGAATGTGTGACGGTTTAATCTGCCCACGGCCACCCCATGACAATCTTCCTCCTCTTCTTCATCTAGCCTCAAACCTAGTAGCGATGGCCTCTAACCTACTAGAGATGGCCTCCGAACTAAGACGTGCCCGTTTCTTCATCTGTTCCTGTCCACCCACCAACGCTTGCCAAAGTCGCTTCTTCGTCGTCTTGGCCTGAAACAGGCCCAACTCATTAGGGCACGGCACTTGACACGGTTTGGGGGGGCTCATGCGCATCGGCTTAATGAATGCCGGCCTCTCTCAAACGTCTCTCACCTGCAGTTGGGCTGCCAGCCTTCTTGTGAAAGATCGGCTTGGTTTGACCACCGTAGCCTGCTTGCTTCTTGTCCTTGATGCCAGCTAGGCCACGAGTGGGCAAGCAAGTTATGACAAGTCCCACTCAAATTTGTCAGGCTGTGCGTGATTGGGACCCCCGTTCTACGACTTCTTAGGGGCTGAAGCACTTTGAGACCAGGGAGCCCAAGGCCTCTCCAGCGCAAAAAAAGCGGATCCCTGGAAGGCAGCCAGGACACGTATCTGCGCTTACCTTGCGCCGTTTTGGAGGCTTTGCCAGTCTTATACTGCGAGACCTGACCGGAGCGAGGAGTCGTGCCAACGCGTCTTATGCCCACGCGTCTTATGCCAACGCGTCTTCTCCACGTCGACCCACCTTATGAGTTGTGTGCTTCTTGCACTTTCGGCAATACCTCGGCGCAAAGGTGGACAATGGACAAGATAAGCCGGGTCGCGGTGTCTGTTACAAACCACCTATAGGTTGTTTGGGGTTGAGGTCTTGCCGGTCTCGGAGAGTCTCAAGAGTCTCACTTGATGCTACGCGACACTTGGAGCCAAAATTGAACCAATAGAATCTAACAACCTGCACCTAGTGATACGATGGTTGGCCAAAGAGCCAAACCAAGGAATCCAAAAGGGAGTTGGAAGAGTCTACCGCATCCAGGACAGAAGCAGCTCTCACCTAGATCCAAGCCACGTGCTCCGCGTCTTTGGGATGTTCCTGGGTGCATCCCACTGAGATAGAAATTGTTCACCGGTGCAATGATTGGTTGCGGGTCGGAGTTCTTCAAGGGTGTGGGGGCATGTTCTTTTTCTTCGACTCCAATTCAACGGACTCATTGTCTCTTAATGACCACTGAGAAGAACCTCCGTCCTTCACCACTGCTGCTTCCTACCTAGCCAACTCCGACTGTCAATCCATCTTTCAAAAAAGATTGCTGAAAACTGGAGAACCACAATCAACCAATCAACGTGAACTTTACCGGGAAAGGATGCACTAATTTAGTGGTTCGTTCCCAGAAAAAAACGCTCGTGGCTTAGGTACAATCCGTCTCATTGACCCAAGTTAGACCACACCTGGTAGAGGAAATCCATGGGAGCGGCACTTCCACGCGCGTTCTTTCTCCGTGAACGCATGTTCAGTTCTTCCGGGACAAGCATCACCATGGTGCCGAATCAGGGGACGTGGTGTTGACCGCTGGAGCCCAAAAAGCAAGATGACAGCACAAGCGTTCTGAAAGAAGCTGAGTTTTGCATGGACAACACACACAAGCCATATACTCCCTAAAATTAAAAGCGTTTGAAAGCGAAGACGAAGGGAGGTCCCACTTTCTCATGAAAGCTCTGCAATGAAAACAACATGGATCTCTTTCAAATTGATTTCCTGCGCAAATACCGAGAGCAATCCGGGCCTCAGGCGTCTTTGACCACCTCGGCGGGCGAAGGCAAAGATTGAGAGACCAAAAGCGCTTCATTCAGTCCGACTGCAGCCCTGCAATGCGTCACAACGACCCCCGCGGCGTGCCCCAAGAGGTATCGTGCGACCCATCCTGCCCGCTGGAGCACTTGTCCCCAGTGAACGGGACCTTTTCCTATGCCCCATGCCCTATGCCCTATGTTAATAGATGATCTCACTGCAAAAATGGAAGTAAACAGGAAACCGATCACGGTGGCCAATGGAATAGTATTGTTTGAGCATGTTTGAGCTCACACCGCTGGCCTCCATGCGAATATGGGAGCCCGGACGCAGCAGCAAGGGTGGCCAGTGCAGACTCCACCGGTGCCCGTTGGGCCTGTGATGAAGACGTAGACCTGTGGACCGGGCACACGGAACCGCACGGCGCCTCGGCACATGGCTGCCTTGGCAAACCAAAGTGATGGAAGGGCAACACATGTCGCATGTCGCAGCAAACATGTACAGCGAGACACTCAGTTAAGACCTCAGGATCCAATTCCTTTGCTCCGACTGCTGTGTCTTTATTGCAAATCTGTTCTAGGACGCTCTTGCAGATTTCGTGCCACCGTTTGAGTTTGATTGCGACTTCGCATCCTCCCCATTACAACCACTGCTCCACCTCAGAACCAAGCTGCCCTGGTGGCTCCACGACTTTCAACTCGAATGTGCCCGAACCTGGACGGCGCGAATCACCCCCAGTCACTTCTAAGCTCGTCCCAGGAACTTACAGTTATATAAAGACGTCCTCTAGGAAAACCTCCGTGCTTACATTGCATGTATGTACGGCGTTTTGTTCTGTCTTGGGGAGGTGGTGCCTCTCATCAACCCAAGCAATGTCTCATGGCTCCGCTCGCCTTTCACTAAAGCCATCAACTGGCTCTGCACCCTGCACGGCTGGCGCGTTTAGAGTGTCAGCTGTGTTTTGGGGTGTCAGGGTGGGGCAGTTGCAATGCGCATGAGGTTGGCAATGATCAAGCTGTGTGGGCTTCCTGCAGTTGCGACAAGCGAAGGGCTGACAAAGGCCAAGCGTGCTGTGGTTCACTCGATATGAGTTGTGGAGTAAAGCATGGCTCTTGCCCACGGGAAGTGCAAGCGGACGCAGCTGCTCAGAGGTTCTCTGAGGCAACTAATGTGCGAGATCGAACGGGCACCATGATCAGCATGATGCGGTGGGCCGCCACAGAAAGGCATGGATAATTTCATGTGTGGAGGAAAAAGATGTTGTGCCCATGAATGGCGTCAGCTCTTACTGGCCTGGCAATAGCAAAACAACAACTGCTGGCACCACCCTTTTTTCCATCTTGAGAGGCCTCAGGCGCCTCAGGCTCCAACTAGAGCGCACTAATGCTTTACCAAACAAAGAGTGGAATGCGTCGCAAGTTCCATCGAAGAATTTCCAAGTATGCCTTCCCAAACCTCGCATCCGGTTCCAGTACCGCTTGCTCATTCCCACTCATTCCACGCAGTGGTCACAAACAGGTTTGTGCCAATCTGAGAAGAGTTTTTGCACACGCCACTCCGAGCAAGAGCCGGCATCCCCACTCTTTCTTGCTCATGGCTGATGTTGGAAGCCCAATCTAGGCTTAAAACATGAAAACCACTGCTCGCTCGACTTTGGACAGCATCTTGGCAACATTCGCCTCCCTCAGCCTTGGCCCTTTAAAAAGAAACATGCTGCACCAGTCAGGAGCACCGCGGCAGGCACGATGGATGACCAATCAATCTGTTCGTCGGTCGCAGCCGGATGACTCAAAGGCTGCTCTTCGTAGCCTGGCAGGATCACATGGCACATACATGCAGAATCAACAGGGATCGCAATGAACTGAGCCGTGAGGAAGGGGACATGGGGACATGGGTTGGAACACACTTCATCGAATGCGCCCTGAGCCCATCATGTTCACAGATCGAAGGAACCCCTTGGAACCGCTCAGCACGTACCTGCGCGCCTCTCAGCACTCGCACATCTGGGTGATCAGCCCCACGGCTCTTCTGCAGTTGACTTCGCGCCAGGTGAATCCATGGTAAGGCCTCCAACAGTCTCTGCTGTGAACTCTGAGGCAAGAATATTGGCTGTGATTGGCGGTTCAAGTTTTGGGGGTCCGGAGAAATTCACTCCTCTCATGACAGACCTTACTTTCCGCGTCTCCCATCCGCGGGAATGCACACCTCTTCCGCCGGCCGACGTGCCAACAACAAGCACTGGAAGGCGTGATAGGAGGCCTCGACAGCAGAACAGAAAGAGTTGGGGTTGGTGTACATAAGGGGGAACTAAGGGGGAACCCTTGGTGTTTCCAACCTCCAACCACCAACCATCCCTAATCTTGAGACCCTTTGAACCGGACGAACAAGGCATCGCTCGCCTGCGCACGGAAGCCTTGAAGTGCAAGGCCTTCTTCATCGCATAGCTGGAGGAGCTCCTGCATGAAGGACTCAACATGCTCCCCACACAACATAGGTGCACATGCCGACGGCGGCCAAGTGTCCTATTGTTGTTTCTTGCCGGTGTTCTGCATAAATCTGAAGTTCGAGGGACGCACTGGCCTGTTTATCAAGTATTGCATTGTATAGCCCATACAACCTTGCTGCAGCATGAGTACGGAATGTCTCCTGGCATCTGAATGACATTAATGTCAAACTTATGCAGCAATGCATAGCTATGCCAGCTATGCTAAAGACTAGTGATGTCACTGCTCCCAAAGTCGCGTGTACAAATATGTCAACACATATTGAATTAAGTATTACGAATTAAATATATGTGTAACATATATGATTATGTGTGTATATGTGTGTGTGTGTGTGTGCGTGCGCGCGTATCTATCTGTGTGAGTGTGCAAATAGGTCTCTACTAGCTACTGCTACATTTGTGGGGCCAGCGAAATGCAGCAACGAGTTGGACACAGGGGCGTCAACCATTTTGCCAGGACCGTCGTCAACCATTTTTCCTCGGTCAACACACTCGTGAGTCAGTTGTTCCTGGAACCCAAAATCGTGAGCCCTGGAACCCGAACCATTGACAGAAATGGTCTACTCAAGCCCTGCATCTTGGATGTTCCACGCGAGAAGCTTCTTCCGATTTGCTGTGCAAAAAGAGCCCGGGGGTCAACTCCAAACAGCACTATGACACACAACCTGAGTGGGGGGCACAGTCTCAAGGAAGCTCACCACAAGCAAACCCAAGCCCACCCGGAGGAAGTGCGCAGGATGCCCCCACTGTTTGAGACATTATCCTAATTGTGATCCTTGATTTTCAAAGCTCATCAACCTCCCAAACCACTTGAGGAAAATGTTCTCTTCACTAGGCGGTCAGCAACTTGACACAACAACAAACAAGTAGTTGAATACCTGTACACCGTGTAGTTATGGGAGGCTGGTCTGACTTTCTGCGAAACCTCTGGGCCTCTTGGCCAAAGAAGTGGCACAAACTGCTCTTCGTTTGGAGCGCTGCTTTTGTACATGTGCCATGTAGTGGTACTCACACTCGCGAGATCCAGGTGCCACTGGGCGCTTACATCGCCAACCCTTTCCATCAGCCCTATTGCAAGTGCCAGGCATAGGAAGCGACTTGCCCGCAGCTCCTTCTCGTCTGTTTCGGGGTCCGCTTTTCTTCGGGCAGTGCTTCTGACAGCGAATGCCCGGCGGGCCAAACCCATCTAATTCACGGACGTGCCTCGCAGGCTTGCAAAGGCATCCACTGATGCTACAGGTCTTCCCTCCGTGCTTGAAGCAACGCCGCCCCGCAGGCCCCAAACTATCAGGACCCTGCACTGTGCCCCAATGGGCCCGGGCACAACCTGCCACATTGCAGCCACCACCATGCCGCCCGCATCGAAAGCCTGCAGGCCCGAGATGATCGGCCAAAGCCCTCCCGAGAATCTGGCGCCGGCAGCCTGGCATAGTGCAGCACTTTGAGGCTCGGTGCCGAGCACATCTCAAACCTTCGGAGCCAGCTGGTCCACAGGCCCGTCTCTTGCACAGGGGCACCTCACACCTGCGAAGCGAAACTGAGTCCGAACATCTCAGGGGAGGATGGCATGTGGCAAACAACATGGCATGCCGCATGCCGCCTTTCAACACCGGCGAAGCGAGAAGCACGCACAAACTTAACGACTCAATCGTCTATCACCGGTTATACTAATTATACTCTAAATTATGTAATCATGATACTGATGCTATTAAGATAAACACCATCAAACCACGTCAAACCTGCGTTCACATGCCTCCTAGCACCATGCTGATAGCAGCGATGCCCCGCCAGGCCGCAGTCATCCTCCCTCGCCACCCGGCCGACCGAGGTCCGCCCGCAGCCGGGCACGTTGCAGGGGAGCCGTCCGCCGTGCAGATCACAACGCCAGCCCGCGCGCCCATGGAGGTCTGGCCTTAAGGTCATTCGTCCTGCTTTCCTGGTGCTGCAAAATGGATCGAAATAGTTTCGGACAAATAACCAACTTGGTTGCCTTGGAGCATTGTCTTGCTGAGTTGGGGTGGTTGTGCCTCTTAAAGGGGGCTCGGGAATCGATTCGTGATCAGGGCCTTGCCCTTGTCCTTTCAACAAACGTGTTGGCTTGGAGAGCTACTACAGGCATGCGAAGCAGTAGGATCCTTCAGGGGCAAAAAAACACATTAAACTTAAACAAATTATGCCGAAGCAAATCGGGCTGTTCCGTGAGCAGTTGGCCACTTCACACCTCCTTCGCCGGACCCTCGGTCCACACCTCTTCAAGCCTTTGGCAGCGGCAGAAGGCTTCCTCCTGGTGGGTGCTAAAACTGCATCAGTCCAGGGTTCCACCCCAAGCCAAGGTGGGCATATCTCATGCCCGCCCTCTCGGAGTTGCTGCAGCACCTTTCGGCAGAACAGCGCCGCCAGCTTCAGGTACGACCTGACTGCCGGCAAGTCCAAGTGGGAGGCACTTTCATTAGTGAGCTCCAACAAGCTGAACTCTCGCGAGCGGAATCGGTCAGAATCCGAAGGCTCTTCTGCGTTCCGCGCTTCCAGCATGACCTGGATCGCTGCCACACAGCCTGAACCGCTCAATGGCCGCAATTCACGGAAAGATCATGAAAAGCACTTAAAGCAAGGTCGTGCGCCAAGGAAATGCAAAACAAGTCAAAACAATTCATTCAATACCTGGTGGACAAAGTACTGGAGGCTTACGAGGCCCGAGGCAGATTTATGGTAAACGAATCTCTAAAGAATGGTATGTCTGACCTTGGCTCTCTATCAAAATGCCAAACCACGTAAATCCATAAAATGAGATGATCAACCTTAAGCAACCAAAAAGGAATCCGGCACAACCTCATTCTGTGGTGAACTTAGGCTGGGCGCGGAAGCTGGAACTCAGTAGTTGGATGGGAGCCGTCCCCGAAAAAAACGAGAGAGACACAGGGCAAAGGGCAAACTTCTTTAGAAAAAAAACTAATCGGTGTGTCACTGCTGCTGTGGTTATTAGTTGCATTTTGCCCGGTTCTCTCCTCTTGTGCTGTTGCTTTCTTGATTTCTTTTGAAGATGTTCAACGTTTACCAAAAATTGAAAATATGGAACGTTTACCGTGGGTTGATCTCCTTTCGCTTTCGCCCTCACCGCCACCAAAATCCTTTCCTTTCTTTTCTTCAATGTTTGGGGAGTAATTTGCGGGAACTGTTACTAGTTCAGTCTGTAAATGTTCATCGTGGAAAGAACATCCTCAGAATAAATGGCACAGCACGGTGCAGTGTTTGTACTGTAAAATGGATACCAAATGTCTTACCTTCTTTTTTGCCAGGATGATCTATCTGAAAATGACCCCTCGACAAAATGCAATGTTCCGACTTTGGCCTTGTTCATCCAGGGTACCAGGGTACTTGTACCCTCACTATGGGTCCATGAACAGCATGTTGCAGGTGTCAAGTCGAGGGTACACATTTATAGTAATGATTCATAGCACGCATTGCCAAAACCATCCAAAAAAACATCCAAAGGCTAATTCTCAAACAGCCCCACATTCCAGTACATTCCCGTGAGTCCCAGCAGCATAGGATGACCTCACAAAGCCGACTTCCATCCTCCGCAATCACCGCCTGATCCATTTCCTGCCGCAGCTGGGCGACGCGCAGCTCGTCCCATCCGTCCCATCTGCCGTCCACCCTGGGCTGCTCGTGGGCTGCCAAGTCTGCGGAAGGCTCGATCGGCACAGGATCGAAGAAAAGGCCAGGGAAGACCTTGGCTGAGGAGAGGGTCCAAAGAGCGCAGGTGCATTCGCTACCCTTCAGAACCTATAACATCATATATAACTATCTAGAACTTCTCCAAAGGCATGCGACATCAAAACCAAGAAACCATCTTGGCTCGGTTGAACCCTTCCTGTTCCCAAGCTCCTGGGCGTTCATCTGCCTGGAAAGCCACTCTGACCTTTGCAAGGCTTCCGCCCAGGCCCACCTCCTGCAGGACATCTGGATGCACCTCGTGCCTGGGTGCCACGTAGACCGCGCCATTCTGCCCCCGGATGCCGATCCCGAAGGTCAAAGCGCAGTGCACGTGCCCAAACATCCAAACGGCCTCCATCGCGAAGTGCGCGCGCGTCGCGAAGTGCGCACGCAGTAGCCAGGGGGTTGTTGGGTCATGATTTCGTGGTGCAAACATGCACCCATGCACCTCCTGGAAAAGCAGCCTGCGACCATACCTTACAAAAGGATTCACGGAAATTCTACGATTCTACGCCAAGGTCATGAAACGCCCCGGCTAACCTCAGGGAAATGCTGCTGCTTAAGGGCCTTGATTCCCATCAAGCTCTTCCTCGCCATTTTCCAGGCACAGCGTCCAACGTCACACGGGAAGCATGCTCGACAGGACAGGGCGGACGAGGGACATAGCACCTTCTGTTTGGGCCGAGACAGCGTAGGGCTGCATGACAAAGCACGAGGAGCGCATCTTAGAGGATTGTGGTACAAAAACAACCCCCCCTCATCCAGGACCCGCGGTCAGTGGTCCCAAGCATGCGGTGATCCTTGGGTCACTGACTATCCACTGTCCTTGGCCAAAGAAGTCCCAGCATCAGCATCAGGGCTAACACCTGCGTCGTCTTGCAAGGAATCTTTGTCAGGCAAGGTCCAATTCCTTCCATCCACGTACAGCCGTAGACACTTCAAGACCTGGAAAAAATGTACCATAATAATAATCCATAGCTATATATATATATAATAACATGTGTGCACACAACTCGTGTAGACATGTAACAGGACCTCTCTCACCCCAACTGCCTCGATTTAACTGCCGCACCAACTCTCCGAGACGCCGTCGGCGCTGGTCACTGGCATCGTGCGACTGCTCTTGGCATGCCGGGCAATGGCACTGAAATGCATAGCCTGCAGAGGCGAAATAGTAGCGATGCCAGGAGCCCCTAGTAGCGTCCTTGCTCCTACTAGTTAGTTGTTTTTACTTTAACAAAGGTCAGCAACACCTTCCAAGTTGTGATCTGGTAGCTTCGGCAGTGTTTTTTTGGTGTTTCTTGAAGCCTGTGGGTTGGGACGTGAGGACCAGAAGACCGTGGTTCCAAACCCGGTGGACGCTCCGAACCTGGCTTCCGGGCAAGATACGGCGGCGAAAGATCTCTTCTCGCTGAGTGTAGGGCAGGAAGGGCTCCAAGTAAGAGAAGCAAAGCTCTTCACCTTTCTTGATGTCCTGACGGCCGACTCAGCTTACAAAGTAAATATAGTCCAATGGTCATGAAATAGGAGTATTGGAAAGCCCAAGTTCACCAATCGAATCTTGCGTGATCTAAACTCTTGCTTGCACCGTTGCCGTTCTTGAATCTTCTGTCCGCTGTATACATAACATCATATCATTCCCTCTTTCTATGTGTATATATATATATAACATGAGTAATATATATAGTCCATTATAGTCCAATGTCTTCATGTGTCAGGGACCAAGGACGCAAGGTACCCCACACCTTGCAGGCAAACAACTTCTGACGGAACATCTCGTCATCCCAGAACTGCTCACCTCGGCACCAGCCCTGGCAGCCTAAATGAAAGTGTGCACTCTTCCTTTAAAAAAATCGGGAGGGCCGAGAACCGTGCCGTACAGCGCTTACATAGACTATTTGATTTACTTTGGACTGTATATAGGTAAGGAGTGAGCAGATTGTCCTCCATCTAAAATCTTACCAATACCAAGGTGCTGGGAATTTGACCTTGTGTCCTGAGAGCATTGTGATGTACAATGTACCATGATGCACCCAGAGCAAGTCGGTGTGGGAGACACTGGGAGGCAATCTAGAATCTAGAATTGGAAGGCACCACAAGAAAATCAGTATCAACCAGGCGTCCCTCTGAAACTGCTACAGTAGGGCAAACACTTCATTCAGCATCTCCTACGTTTCCTGATTCTAGGCAAGCGCAAGCACCGGTCGAATCCGATCGCTTGCCAAGCATCAGTTTGGTACGCAGGAGTGGTTGAAGCGGCTGACCAGCACGCAAAGACTACCGTCCAAAGACTCGCTATAGCAGCCAATACCTGCAAGATGAATCACATCCCAGTGGTGCCCCAAAGCTGGACAAATAGAAAGGAAACAAGCCATCAGTTCAAAACGGATAGCCCGACTCGTCATCCCAACACGCTGAAAGCCACCAGTGGACCAGGGTGCTGTTGGTGTTGAAAATGCCTGTGAGCGTCTTCGGTTCCTCCGTATCGTGAAGGCTCATCAAAGCCTCTTGCGTCTTCTTGGGCAAAGTCTCCTAGGTACGGCTGAAGAGGTTGCCGGAAAAATGGCTGCCCAGACTCAGACTTCCTGCATCTCAACTTCAACTTCGATTACATTATGAATTACATTGTTGACACTTCTATTCATGTCTGGGAGTTTGGTGAGGGGCAGGGAGTGACGTGACAGGAAGTGCCGAATGTCACTGTTGTGTGCTGCAGAGGTCTGCAGCCAATAACTCATTTGGGATCTGACTGATCCCAAACCTCCATGACCAACGGCACAACAGCTTGCCACTCAAACAGAAACACCTGTGAATGGGCTCCTAGAGTCTGAACATGTCTCCTTTGGCAGTGCCCATCCTGCAGGCTCATGGCCGCCATGCTCTCCCAAGCATTCCCAAGCCAACCCAACAGGAGGCCAAGACCATGTTCATAGCGTTTCAATCATTTCGCTCCAGAACGCCCAGTCCAAGCTGCAAACTGCTTCTGTATCTTCTCCTCCCAGTTTGGTGCATCCACAAACGTGATCGGCCTCAGTCTCTGTGGGCTCTGATCCGCCCCCAACTCTACCTTTGGAAGTCTATGTGGGCGGCCATGCGTATGCCTCGCGTGCCCAGGTTGAAATCGTCCAGGCCGAAATTGCATTTGATTTCTAGATCTCTTCACTTCCTCCGTCCATCCCAATCAAGTCAGCAGGACAAACCTACCAGCACTTTGAACCCTTCAATCCAAGCCAGCTAGCTGCTAACCTCCACTCATCTCCCACGCATCTCCCTTCACCGCCATCTTCTCCAGGCGGCGGCCGCTCTTCAATCACCAGCTCACCCTCCGCAAGGTCGCGCACCGCCACGGCACCAAGGCCCTTCCCGGGCACATCGCGGATCTCCTGAGCAGAACAGAGTTGATGGCTTGGCAACGTAGAGCCTGTAGAGAAATCAAAGGGATCAAATGAGAACACTAGTTCTTGTATTTCTGGTGTGGCTTTCGGCTAATTACTGCTGTACCGCTGACTGATGACTATAGTTACTATAGTTACTATAGTTGTGTGACACAACACACAACATACTCAGTCAAGGCACAAACGGACTCTGTGCCGCACGCCCAGCAAGCCGTGCCACAGCATGCGCACGTGCAGCGCGAGCAGCACCCCAGCAGGCGGCAATCGTCAGAGCTCTGCAACCGTCTGGGGGGTCCAGCACCTGACGATTGCAGACGGGATCTCACCTCTACAAGAGACAGCAGTGTTGGCATGTTGCCGGCACAGGCAGCTGGAGCCACTTCCAGTATTACTGCTTCTCTGCCCTGGCATGTAGCATGTGCAGCCCTGTGACAACACAACCAGTTCAGGATCTAGGGCCCAAACCTGCGAGACTTTAGCATTTGCTTCCAAACTTGGGTGTTAGATGAGCAGGGTTTTAGAGTTGCAGTGTCATGTCAAGCCTCTCACATACCAATAAAGGACGGTGCTGAGATGGTCTGTACACACACCACGCTTTTTTATGTTACTCACTTGAGTTCGCCCACCTTTGGCTTTCCGCCCAGCCAGCTGCGAGTGCTGGGGTGCAGAGTAGCCACGCTACACGGCGCCCAAGGCACAGTTGTTGGCAGAGCGCTCTGCCACTGCATCTGCAGCATTTCTCGTAGAGTTCAGGGGCTTCAACCCCTTGTTGTAGCAAAATCTTGCACAATGAAAGGTTTGCCCAACAACCAAGGGAGGCTCACGGCCAATCCAGGATTCCTTGCTCTACCTTGCCACGATTCTTTGGGTGGCCTTTTCTATATTGAAACAAACTCCTGTCTATTTTGAAACAAACACATCGTGAAAGCTGAGCTCTAATTACTAGTTGGGAAGTAAATTTCGCATTGGTGAAAGAAATGACAACATTCTGAAAGCTAATAAGTGCCTCACCACTCAGCCAGAATAACTGCTGGAAGCCGCGACTTGGCAACCTACACGACCCCTTTTCAGGATTGAGTATCCTCGAATGATGAATGATGCATAACCTGGGCGTCAACCTGGATGGATCCAAGAAACAGTGTTGCATGTCACGCACAAAGACTGACACCCGTCGCCGATGGTATGTCGAATGTAAGGCACCTGTCTTGGATGAGGCGCTCAAGCTCTTCAGCGGTCAAACCTGCATGTGTTGGACTAGCAAGTGCTTGGGGAACTCCCTTTTGCTCCGTGGCTCCCTGCTTTAAAGAAAGAATTGACATCCAGGCTCCAGCTCCTTAGCTTCCTTAAATAATGCAAATGACAACCCCTTTGATCATGACCCATCTTCACAAATCTCCCAGTCCAATTTCTACTTGTAATCAATCTGGGGGCGTCTTTGGCACCAGGCAGGGAACTCAATTCTGTGCGCAAAGTGGGCCCAAGGTCAAGACTGAGGCCGCTCTGCGTGAGGCCCTGCCTGAAGCAGCAGCCAACTCTGAGCGTTTCATCTTGTTCTTAAGGGATGGTTAATAAAGTAACTATGAAGACAAGTTGAAGACAAAATATATGTCTATTTGTATTCCAAACCATCAGGTTGTGCTGCGTGGCACGACAATGCTCTTTGGATCTCTACAGAGTGTGCTGCCTCGTGCACCTCGTGCCCTTCATAGATGAATGCCAGAATCCAGCACAGCTGTGGCCATGATGTCTAAACCAGTCCAGTCTCAAGGCTCGCTTCCAAAACCCGACTGAGAGTCCGGTAAGAATCCTCGTCCACTCCTCCGCTGTCCGGTCACCTGAGCTCCCCGCCCCACAGGTGCTGGTTCAGGACCGCGCGAGCCAGAGGAGCGCGACCTCTCTGGAGCCTGCGACCGAGACGGCTCAAAATGGCTTAAATGCCCATGTGGATCCATGTGGTGATGTTTGCAGACATCGAACCACTTCACCAAACCACAAGAATGACCTTGACTCATTTACAAAGGACCTTTGTTGGAAGGTTTTGCATGGCTTTGCCAAACTCGGTCCTTGGAATATTGAGGTGTGTCAAACCAATCTTTGCTGAGGAGATGTGTGGTTCGCTGGGTTAAAAGACTTGGCCCATGCTTGAAAGCGAAACAACTTCATGACAAATCAGCTGGATGGTGTTGCAATAACAGTTTGTGGCCTCACCCTGGGCCTGCCTAACCTGCAACTGCAAGAGCCACGTTCAGCCGTTTAGCTGAAGGCTGCAGGTGTTAAAACTAACGTATAACTTATGGCTGTCGATCCGCTTGCGCAGGCCCTTCAAGCCTTTCTCCGAGCCATGCCAAATTCTTGAGTAGTGCCCAACACTACTCACTACTCCAAAATATGTTGGCCTTGGTGGAGAGCTGCAACTCCTGCGGAGAGGTTCAAGCTTCCGTGGCAAAGTGAGGTTTGTAACAAATTGTTTTAAAAAACAACATCCATCGCAAAACCCACATTCAAAGCACAGAAACTAAGAAGCTCCAAATAAAATATTCGTGACACAAGTAGCCTGCGAATGTTTTACAATGAATGTCAAGGGAATATGTCCCTCCCAAATGCCCATGGATTCCAAGCTCCTCTAACCTGGATTCCAAGCTCCGTTGTGTCGCCTCCAGCTGCTGCCGTTCCTCCTGTTCCGCAAGTGGAAGTCCAACAAAAAAGACGTGGAGTTCGATGGTTTGCACTGTGCAACTGAATCGATTTGTAGTGCCACAGCTCACAAATAAGTATAATAAGTCTCCATGTTGTCACTGGCATTCTCCTCAACGGCGGAAAGAACAAAATCCAGCTTTTTTGCATGCACATGTTTGACCCAAGCTTCGCAGCAGGGTGGAAAGTTGCCACTGCGACCACCCCTCATCCTACAAGTCAAACTCATCAAATGAATCCACCTCAGTCATCTGTCCGTTGTTGTGGCGCCTCCCGCTGTTTCTGCAGAGCCTGCAACTCAGATCGCGCAGTTCTGAGCTCCTGGAGTGGCCAGGAATTGTTCTCTGCATCCGGCTGTGCAATGATTTGAGGGTGTTTTTGCAGGTCACCAATCAACCGTGAGCATCCCCAGATTCTGAATCCAGGCATGTGGTTCAAGCTAGTCAATACAGGTTGTTCATGTTGTGGGGCGATCCTTCTACAGAAACATCTCCAGCAAACATCAAAATTCAACTATATAACTACTTACACTTACGACATATTCATTACATGTGTATAGGTATACACGCAATTAATCAATAACAGCTATATAATTGCAAACGAATCTAAGGACAATGAACCTTTCTGGTTGACTTGTCCCGACGTCTGTCGAATTGGGAACTGTCCGACTCGTGCGCTCGCCTCTTCCAACTCAGCCAAGCGCCAAGAAGGCGCCGTCTCACCTGGCAAGGTAGGACCCATATGAAGCCAAAAAGCTAAGAAGCCAAGGGCTTGAAGGCTTGGTAAAGGAAATCAACGACATCCTACAAGCCAGGTAATTGAAAGAGGTGGAAAATGGAACGGGGGCTGAAGTCTTCCATTATCGGAATCATCTCATCAAACTCCCACAAGCAATGGACCCAGGCAAGAGCTGCTTGCACTTGGACCATTTTGGACCCACTTATTTTGTACCGCCCACCCTGTCAAACAGCTCACATCCCTCCTCTACCTTCCCATCGTTTCTCACGTTCCATGCCGTGGGTCTTGCTTCAGAGCTTGAAGCAACTATAGGTCAAAACCAGGTGAAACGCACCTGCCGAAGCCAGCTTCCCTTTGGGATTGCCAGCTTGGCATCCTCCGGTGTCCAACGCGATGCCATGGCACCCAGTGCCTGAACAAAGCCCTGCAGGAAAGGAACGCCTATTGATGTGATGAGAGGGGCCAAATGGGATGGTGAGGAGTAGGAATTGGACATCTAGGAAAAAAGAAATCCTGTCGGTGAGTCCACATAGGTCTATTCCAAAACATTGCCGCCAACCTCCCAAAAGCGTGGAAGAGTTGCAGTAAAATCATGTTGCGCAACCAATGGTGTAGAGGCCTTTCCTAGTGCAACAAGGTAGGGCAAAGACTCTCACACAGTGAGAATGTATGAAAGCATACTATGACTCTAAAGCCAGTCTTGGGCAGAGGCAGGGCATGGACCACGTTCTTTCAAGCTACTCACTGACAATCAGAAGAATGATAAGAAAGGCTACAATTGTTTTGCAGCTACCCTATGTGTCCATCGCCTCCTACTCTATTCGTGAACAGTGATCCAAGCTTACACGCGCAGAAAATGGGATACGCGATCGCCTCGATCTACGGAAAACACGGCGTTTCAGAGGTTGGCCACTTCAATCTTCGCAGGGGTTGATGGCGGTATCATTGGTCGCATTGCACTCCTGAGTCGTGGTGTTTGAGCAAGGACATCATGAAGCGCCGCAACACGCCCAGCTGGTGTAGAGCCCTTCTAAATTGTGGGGCGATTGTGTGAGTCGAGCGAACAAACAAAAATAACAAAAGAGTGTTTCAAAATGGGCCCATTCTAGACATCCGTAGACTCATCTAGACTCTAGGAACAGCAATCTCAGCCCAAGCCACCCTGGCCGCAAAGCGCTTTGGGGTCGCACAGCGCTTTGCGGGCGCATGGCGCTGCCCGGCCGCGCAGCACTGCCCGGCCGGCCGCGGCCCGAGCCTGGCCGCGCGGAGGCGCTTTGCGGGCGCCCAGGCACACGCCGCTTGGCGGAGGGTGGTCGCGCCCAGGCTTCCATGGTCTGAGGACCTGCAGATCAGCAAGGCCAAACCTTCGTGGAAAAGCCAAGAATGCCTCCTAAGGTTCGGCGTGCCACGCGCCCTAATGGAAGACCTCCTATACAAAGCATGCATTCGGCTTGCTGGCATTCATTGAGTCACAGTCTAAGCACCAAGTGCATACATCGAGCATCTGAAGAATGGGAGGTTCCAGTTCCAGCTGCGACTTGAGCGTCCGCTTGAGAGTCGGCATGCCTGCTGTGCTCGGCCTGCTGGTGGAGCCCTGACTGCCTCCACACGGTCCCGAACGTATACAATCGTACAGTGTACAATTGTCTTATACACCATGTACCTATGGCAACTTATTCCAATGGCAAGAACTGTTTCTCCAAACCGTTTGGCACACCTTCTCCATGTCAACGAACCTCCATCATCCCATATTGAGGCATGTTCTGCAATCTGGAAAGAAATGCTTTTGATCTGAACATTCCCCGTCTTGGCCTGGTATTGAAGGCGGCAAGTGGATCGAGGGAGGGAGGGGATCCTTGGTAGTTCCGCCAGTGAATAGACGTTCAAGTTCATGGGGATGCTGATTTGCGGAACTTCTACTCAGAGTCTACCCTCAGCGACTCAGGATCTTGAACCCGCTGCCATTGCCAGTTTAGCGCTGGCTCAAGGAAAGCTGCCCGTTCTAAATGTGAAATGGCGTGGCTGGGAGCAGGCCAAGCGTCGATAAGAGGCGACAAGGAGCATTTCTGCTTCCTGGCCTCTTCGGCCATCACTGCATAGCCTCAGCTTCTCGGCTTTGGCACTCCGGCACGGTGGGCCACCTGAATTGCCTGACATCCCCATGAACAAAATAATTATGAACAAGAATCCCGATGAATCAAAGGATCATATGAATCATATGAAAGTTTCGAGACATGAAAAGCAACATAGAACCGCTTGTCCTCCGATCCAATACTCCAACATCTACAGTAACAGCAACATCATA